TACAAATACACATGAATACATTCTACATGTGGAAAAATGGAGATAAGTTCTTCTATGGTCCCAGGTTTAAGAATAATATAACAATATACAAAATACAACACAGTGTTGTTCTATGAAACATTGGCCAATACAGAAAGGAATCGTGATGATTGATATTGGTGGTCAAGGTAAGAGGATCTGACAAAGACAAACTTCTAGACAGGTCTGTGAGGGGTTTTCTAGATTAGGTAATTGAGGTGGAAAGCTCACTTTAAATGTAACAATGTACCATTCCAGGCATGGATCCCTGACCAAACAAAAAGGAGAAAAGGAAAGAGCTCCTACAGTCATCTTCTCTGCTTCCTGACTGTGGATACAACCTGACCATCCACTTCCTGCTTCTGTCACGAACCTGCCCTGTCATGACAGACCGTATACTCTGAAACTGAAACCAGAATAAACCTATCCTTCTCTACATTGTTTTTGTCAGATACGCTGCTACAGCAATGAAACATGTAATACAGGAACTAAGCTGATTTTAGGGTCCAAATGCCACCCAAGTCCTATGTCATCAATTCACATGAAATGAAGACATTGACAAAAAGAAAACCTGGATGCCAGTGAGACCTGTTTCAAGTTGCATTTTTACAAGGCAGAGTGATATTATGCAACAAAGGAGCAATTGTTGGAAGTGTATCGTCCTGTTCTCATTGATGCTTCCAACAGAAACGTAGCAGAGACACAATAGACATACTCAAGTCTGAGTTGGTTCCTTCTAATTCTAGTCTCATGTGCTGTGATTAAAACTTTTTGAGCTGGAGAAACAGTTCAGTTGGCAAAGTTGTCACAAGCATGAGAACCTCAGTTGACTATCCAGAGCCTACTTAAAAAGCCAGGTGGGGCAGAATGTGCTAGTATCCCTTATTCTGGGCACACAGAGATCGGAGAACCCATAGGGCTTGCTAGCTGCCTAGTCAGAAAAATCACTGAACTCCAGATTAAGTAAGAGACCCCATCTCAGAAGATAAGAGGGAGCCACTGAGGAAGAGATCTCAGTATCACTCTCTGGCCTGTACATATACATGCACACATGTAGATATGTACCTGAACATAAATGAAGAGCAAATACATGGCCTGTTTGTCTCTCTGCTTGTCTATTAAATATTGTCTGCCTTTGATTTACACACACCCTCTCCTATGGGATAAAAAGGATACAGATGACTCAAAAGTAGTTGAGGATAGAGCATTGTAGATATGCAGATTTATTTAAAATTGTGCCTTCAAAAGTTCCAGCTGCAGCAGTCACTAGTGAATTCTCTCACCCCAGCTCTGTGAGCTTCCCCAATGTATCAGTAACTATGGGTAGCAACTTCTTTCATTTGCCTTCTTGGAAATTACCTTTGAAAATAGCTGGAATCATTTAACCCCAAATATCAGACAATAACTCTAACACTTTCTCTCACTTTATGATATATGACCTAACATGGCTCCAGACACATCCGTTACTAAATCTAGATGTGCAACAGTTGGTGTCATTCTACTTCATTAGGATAAATGGACAGGTTTATTAGTAGAGAAAGGTACTAAATCCTTTCAGGTTTTCTCGTGATCATATTTTTACAGGGCGTGGCTTAGTTGTCACCAGTATTTAAACTCTGACAACAGCACATAAACTTTAGAGATCATTCCAGCAGGTAGTGTCCCATAGAGGTGCTTTAAAGTCCTTGGGAGCTTACCTCTCTTGGAAAGGCAGAAATAAATATTTCTGGTAGCACAGGAGGAATAAAATACAAAATTAGACTAGTATCTTATACATAACTGGGGAGACTAGGCCTAGAGAAGCTGAAGCAATAAAAGACCTCCTAGTATAATTTACCTTTCCTTCTCTATAACCCATGTATAACTAAGAACTGTTCCCAGGGATCTGGTCCAAAGAGAGGCAGATGCATTCTCTCTAAACCTGGGTTCACTGGTCAACCAGCTTTCTAGGGATTGAGGGCTAGAGTAGAGTGCCCTGATTCCTAGCCTTTACCAGTGGCTGTTTTACAACTGTCCCATCCCTGCCAACACAGAAGTCCCTAAGCCGGATGCTGTGAAGTGATGGGCACCATGCTGCACTGTGCAGCCCATGCAAGCAGGCTGTAATACCTACTAGATTCTGCAGGCCCATGGCAGGGGTTGTTCCTAGGAACAGGCCCTAACGCACCAAAATCTAGGACTCTCGAAGCTTAATTTTCATAGATAGCTGCTATGACAAAGAGTTAGTTAGTGATGAAATTATAGCTGAGAAGCCCTCAGTTCTCTCACCTCACTCCACTAACTAATGAGATCAGCCGTTTCCTCCACCTGGTTTCCCACGGAGCCACAGAAATTACCTCGATAAGCTAGGCAACTGAGCAGTACCTTCCGTTTTATCCCATTGGTCTCTATCCACTTCTTTTATTCCACAAACCTTGATCCAGTGTAGCCAGAAGCTGAGATTAGAATCTGCATGCAAAATCCTTTGTTATCACAGAGGGAGGTGGGAAGAGTAGGGAAGCTAAACCTTATGTCCAAATTGTTGCTATCTTATTTGTCCTGAAATGTCACTAAGATTCGCACTTAGCTCATACTTATAAATATTCTCACAGAATGAGTGAATTCTCACCCATAATTGGCACTGGAAAAATATCTTCTTGCCAAAGGAAACTAAAGAGAATGGATAATACTGATGATGAAATGTAATAGAACAATATAGTGGAAGAACTATCATTCTAAAGTCTGGTAGAAGAACAAATTAAATTAAAATGTAGGTGGCAAATGTTGGGGCTAAGTTATTTCCCTATAAAAACAACTGTGTTTCCAGTGATTTGCCCAAAGAGACATAGCAATAATGGCAATTACCCAAAAGGGTAGATAATGAACAAATTAGTTTCTACTTGATTTTGAAATACTGTTGTGTATTCTAGGACAAATATTTGAAAGGGGTTGTATTTTACATTCTAGAAAGTAGCCATGCTTCTAACTGAATTACTAAAACTACATGGGAGAAGTCAATCTGTGAGAAGTGTTTTCTGCCTTTCTTCTTGTCTCTAAAAGCTTGTCTCTGTGTTCTGTATTATTTCTATTGCTAGACATCTTTGCCTCTCAGGATAATATTAAGTTTGCATCTATTGCACTATTATTAATTATTATTGCTTTAAGTAATATCTATGTGTTTTCTGGTTTCTATTTTCCTAGTATTGATGGAAATTAATATTCTGGTTAAAAGGAACCCATCCCCACACTTTCCCTGCCCTCTGTTCGGTAAACTTTAATTCTTTTAATATGATAATGAAAAAACCCACATAACTACTTCAGAATGGGTATGCAAAATATGTCTAGGTAAGATTTGAAATATTTAAAGTACAATATCTGCCCATGGGAAATTTGAATTAGTGACTTGCAAATTTCCATGCTCTCTTTGTGGTCACAACAGTGATTTTTCCTCAGTAAACACTGTCTAAAAAATAATTTAAGAGTAGCTGTTATAGAAAGTTACTTGGGGTTTTACTCATTAACATCATTTTCTTCAACTTTTCTTCCTTCCTTTTTTTTTCAGTGTTTTCATAAAATGTTACATGTTAGTAGTGCACAGAATTTGGTGTTATATTTAGATTTTTTTGCACATTTTTTATAAAAGCAAAGGGAAACATTTAATATTCTAGAGAAAAATCTTCCAGGTGTTATTTTCCTGACTTCAACATTCAGTACTCACTTGTTAGTTATTAAAAGTGATGTCCATGGAAATTACTTTATCAACATCATGCAAATAATCTACCAAAAACTATGGAATTTTACATTTAAATTTAAAATTAATATAGCCTAAAAGTCAACTATCAATATGTTCTCTGGTTTGTTCTTAGTTATATGGTACATTTCAGAAAATACAGTTTTTCATAAATAAGAGATCACAAAGTATTGTAGTGACTTAGAATCCTTCCTGTAGGACTTCTTTGCCCTGGCATTTAGCTTAATAAGTATTTGGTGTTTGACCAAATTCAGTTTTCAATCTTTGAATATATATCTTGAGTTGGGCACTGCCAAAGCTAAGAAGTGGGCTAAGCAATGGCAGGCTGAATAGACCTGTGTTCAAACGCTGTTCAAATGCATAAGACACTTATTTCACAGAGAACAGATAGTATAAAAAACCTAAGAGGAATTTAGTGACAGTGATAGATAACAAATATAATGACATTCAAATATAAGCAGCATTTAGTCATGTTAGCAATTGCTACAAATACTACCTAGCATTTATTATTACCTATATAGTGAGCATGTATGCCCACCTTGCGCAAACACTAGTTTATCATCTGTTCAACTCGGTGATACAGACACTGTTATTTTCCTTCTTTTGCATGTGGAACCTAGAGAGGATAAGTTATATCTAAACCCAACCTAAAATCACCCATCACAAAAATAACAGTCACATAAAAGGAATCACCTTGTATTTGACCAACTTGACCCAGCTTCAGGGCTAGGTCAGGGGACTGCCAGTCTTACCTTTGACCCTCATGTATCCTTTGGCTTTCCTTTTGCCTATGTGAAGTTTTAATTATTTAAGTAAATCCTAACACGTACACTTTAACAAATTCTACATAATGTATATATTTCTAGTTTCCTTGGAAATCTGAATTTGTGATATCTTGGGTTTGCTCTTCCTTTTGGCATCAAGGGCAACCATTATCTTGGCACGAGTCACAGCTGGCTCTCCAGCAGGTCACATGTTCTCTAAACAGACACTGTCCCTACCATTCCTTGTCACCTCATACCCAGAGTGCCTCTCCTTTGTCCTACCCACCTGGCCTTACTTACTGCCCTAGAATTTTCTCCAACTCTCTTTTAGTCTTTTTAAGCTTTAAACCTTCTATATTCAAAGCTTGCCCATATCCCATTCTGCTAAATAGATATCTTTTTAAACTGAGGGATTCTATCTTTGTCCTCTCAAACCCAATTAACTTCTTTCATATATAAATCCTTCCCTCTTTCTGGTGTCTACTTAGGATACTGCAATTTGGTGAACGGCAGTTTCTGGAGCGCGCCTCTCAAATCTCTGCAGATCAATGGAGACCATTCTAGATGCTCTATAGCTGTAGTAAGAAGAAAGCAGTGGCAGCAGGCTCGGTCCAAAAGGTAAGTGAAGAGTTCGATGCTCAACCATGGGACGAGTCACAGAGGAAAGCCTCCAAAATGCTGTAAGAGAAGACATCATTCTCTAATAACTAGAAATGTTGACCTTCATTTTATTCATGCCTACCTGCTATGACATATAAAACACCCTTGCCATAAAAGACAAGAGGGGAAAAGAATCATAGTTTAATAAATGCAGCTTAAAAACTATATTTGCAGATGTCTTTGAAACTTTTGACTGATTTTAGTAAATGACCTCCTTGAAAATGAACTGCTAGGGACCACAGATTTCCTTCAGATGACCTGAGACAATTCCAATTTAAAATCCATTCCTGCAAGGCCATTGCTAATTGGTTCTTGAATCTTTGCTGAAATAACCTTGCCTCATGAGGCAACTGCACTTCAATCACTTATTTCAGTTGAACATAAGAAATTTGTATATAAATATGATGGCAGGGTTATTAACAATATCTAAAATGCAAATGATGATAAAATAGTTTTACTGAAAGGAATAGTAAGGAAGACAAACAGAAAACACCCTCATGTGTGATTTGCCCTACAAAGCATAAGGCACTAAAATTATTTGCAAACTTTCCACAGTGTGGTTTAGGAAAAAAGCAGGATCATCACAAGGGGATGCAGGATTTGGCTTGCTTCTTGCCCATCACCTTCCTATGATCTGTGACTGATCCCTTATTTTATTTAAACTACAATTTCCTTATCCGTGAAAGGACCAGCTATCCCCAAGTGCCTTCTAAGTGGACCAGCTATCCCCAAGTGCCTTCTAAGTGGACAGCTGCCAGTGAGGGGTGGGAGACAGCTCTGAGTTAATACCCTCCAAGATGACTTTCCAATATTAAACTTAAAAAAAAAAAAAAGTCAGTACATACAGTCCACGCTCTGTGTCTTTGTTTTCAGCAACTTGTGCCAGCTATATTGGTTTTCATTGCCTTTTCTGACTCCCATGAGGCTTTAGTGAATGGGTTTTGACCCTTTTCTTCTTGACAGCATTCCCAGTCTGTTACTGTTTCTTCCCTGTCAACTCATAGACAGGGGTAAGATGAGGCATGATGGAATGGAGCTAGCCTGCACCACAAAGGGCAGACATCAACTGATGTTCATGCTATTATAGCCATGGGATTATCCAAATTCAAACCAATGTATTCAGTATTGAAATACAGAAGGCAGATTGAGCACAGAGGCAAACTGCCAACACCATCTTTCCTTGTATGGATCTAAGGGGCCAATGGAAACCAACTAAAAACTAAACTAAACTAAACAATACAGCTACTGACTGTGACAAGCACTAGGAAGAAACATGAGTGCTCAGCCTGGGAATGACTAGACCGTGTTGTAGAAAGGAAAGCCCCAAAGGTAATGAGAGCTCAAGGAACCTCACCTTTCATAGACATCTTAGATCCCAATCTGTGTGGCACTCTGTCTGGTGAGCTGGCTCAAGATGTGCTTGCTCTGACAGCTAGACCCTCTATGGCTTAAAGGGCCCCAGCCACCCACAGTGACTATCATGAGCAAGTGTATCAAACCAGCAAGGGGAGGGCACTTTTGCTAATGTTTTATATAACTGAGCCTGCCCTGCCCATTCCAGGAGGTGTCTGCAAAGATGTCTGGAGATGAGTTATAGGTTTGTTAAGACCAGAAGCTTTAGTCCTGGCTGCCTCCCAGCACTGAAAGAAGGCCAATATGGCTAGATTACAGTAAATTCAGAAAACGGAGCAATCTTCTGAGATTTTCCTACCCCAAACTGCCTCCATGCTTGGCTCCTCTGATGTTTATATTCCTGGCAGTGCCTTAAACAGATTAAGTAGCTTGACTGAAAATGCCTTTGATTTGTTTACACAAATCAAACTCTCATATTTTATCTCGTGCCTCTAGATTGTGAGCGTTTTATCAAGAACTTTGCATGTGGGCTATTGATATGATAATGCAATCCTAATGCCTGTTTGGGAGCTAAGGGCCTTCATCTTCTCAACCCACACTGAGCTGCACTGAAGACTGGGATGGGCAGCCCACGATAGTTTTCCACTAAATAATGCGTGACCAAGGAGTTTCTGAACTCTTTAAGTTATCTCATCAATTCCTAATTTTCTGCAAACAAAATCAGGAAAAAGCACAAATTTTCAGAGGACTCTTCATAGAACCTTCAGTGTTTACATAGCAAAGGAATGTCTTTTGCACTTAAGGTCTTGTTTGCAAACACAATACTGTCCCCTACACACACACACACACACAGAGAGAGAGAGAGAGAGAGAGAGAGAGAGAGAGAGAAAGCACATTGCATTGTGGCATGCAGTTTATCCTCTTTGGAAGAAAACAGCTGAGTCAGCTCTCTCTCTGAGGTCCCCCTGGGATTAGACAGCCCAGGTACTTCCTTATCCTTGACACTGCTCAGATGGAGCCACTGATGTGCTGGCAGCCTTTATTGGGCTTCCAAGGATTAAGAGGAAGCCCATTCATCTGATATCTCAGCCATTCTTGTAGCATTCTGAAAGCCTTAAGGGTTTTTTATTTGAGTTGAATGAAATCTTGATAAAGGAAACGAAAGCTGGAGAAAAGAAGGGAATTGATCTAAGATTAAAAGTTAGTTTTTATTACAGCTTCAGCTCTGTGCCGGGTGCTTTCATATGCATTATTACCTCTAGAGAGTGTGGGAAAGAACTCCCTGAATATGATCACCAAGGCAAAGAGTGGGAGACTACAGAAACACCAGGCATCTTCTCTCTCCATATATGGGCCCATTCTTCACCCTCTACCATTTAGATAAGATAATAAATGTCCTTTATTTCTTCACCTCAGTCAAGTATAAGATGGCCAAGTCTGGAGTTTCTAAATTCTCAGATCCAGAAGCGTTCTTCTAATAGATGAATCCTAGATGACTATTGGTCTCATACAAACACTAGTTCAGCAAAGCTCCTGAAGGAAGCTACTCTGCTAATTGCACATCTTCCCTTTGTTCAGCCGCAGCCTCTATAATTAGCAGAGTCTTGAAAACAGAAGTTGTCTATAGCATTAAAACCCTTACCCAGCAAATCCCTTAATTATTTCATATCTTCACATTAGGAACTAAGATACTTGTGGTGAAGGGTGTGTTATTTAATTACTTATAGAAGGAAGACAGGAAAAGCAAGACAAAAAGATTATTAAAATAATTTCGACTTGACTCCGACACAAAGACTGACTTCTCTTTTCTCTCCTACTTCCTCCCTGTCTTCCTCCTTTCCTGTCCTTTACCCTTCCTTCCCCACCTCCTCCTGTCCTTAAACCCACCTGTATCCTCTCCTACTTGTCCTCACCAATCCTGCTCTTACCCCTTCCAGACCTTACTCCCTTCTGTCCTCACTCCTTCCTGTTTTCACTCCTCCCTGCCCTCACTTCCTTTCTTCCACCACTACTTCCTGTCCTCAGCTCTCACTTTTTCGGGTTATCGCCCTTTTTATCTGCACTGCTTCTCCCCCTGACTCCTTCCTGTCCCCACCCCCTTCTGCCTTTACTCCTTCTGGTCCCTATCATCTCTCTCGGCATCAACTTCAGTTCATTTCAGTTACCTTGTCCTATCAAGAACTTCACGGCTTTTCCTGACCCACGCAAAGCTTCTGCTTCCCCCTTTCAGTGCCCTGTGTGCTGATCTCAAGCATTCTTTTGCCTTGCTTGATTGGGTGGCGTGGAACAAGGACAGCTGGAATTCATTCAACTAATTCCTCCTTTTCTTCCTTCTGGCCTGACAAAAAGCCTTTTCTTGCCGCCCTTAGAAATCCTTAGAGTTGGACTTTCTAGCAAAGAGAAGCAAGTGGAAATGATGTACTTCATTTTGGGACTAGAGTTTTGAAGATGCAAACATGCCTTCAAAGCTCAGGCCCTTTTGTAGCATACAGTGAGAGAACTGGTGCGGCAGTAACGGGGCGTCCCAGCAGGAGGAAGCTGTGCTCCTGAATCACTAGGGGCAAAACTGTCCGGGCAAGCCTTAAAACCACATGAGGCTGTTGTTGCAAAAGTAAGAACTGGCCCTCTCATGTTTAGACTCAGAAAGTTGAGGCTTCCTTCTTGTACAACTGCAGATTTGGATTTACTTGATACAAGATGGAGGTGTCTACGAGTGTCATTATGAGTGTGAATTCCTCTATTTCAGAAACCCCAGAAGACTAGAAAGGGAGGGGGAACCCCTTTCATCTTTAACTGTGAGTTAAATTAAACTGAATTGGTACCTCATTTGGAAGCTGAGCAGATGGTCATCAAAATGAAGAGTGTAGGATGCCCTACACTGTCTCCAGAACTGTGAATATGATTTTTCTCATTTGCAAGCATCTGTCTAGAATTCTGTAAACAATCTCATAGGTGACTGATTTGGATTGCAGAACAAAAGCAATACCTAGTTAGTTTCCATATGAAAATGTGTCCTACTTCATTACTCATTCAAATACTCATTATCCCAATCAGCAAATACATACTGGGCACATTTTACATGCCAAGCTGGCTTCTAGCAGGACGGATCAGTAACAGACCTGGCGTTAGCTCCCTCCAAGTTCAAAGTCCTCCGGGAGATCCAAGCATTCTGAATTAAGTGATCACACAACTGAAAGTACATTCATTTTGTGGCTCGGGCTACTGGGTTCCTTCTACAAGATAGGAGGATGATATTGCCTGTCTCTCAGATTTTGCTGTAAATTTAGATGAGATTTAAATACCACGATTGTAAAATCAGCACTGTGCTTGATGCTTGAACTTTAACTAATACTCAATAAATTGTATCCGCTAGCGTTCACATTAATTTAGATAAATATGATCTTGCAAGACAAAGGAACCCAGTTAGCTTGCTAGAAGGATACATAGCGCCCCCCCTTCAAAAATTCCGCTTGGTATAGTAACTGAGACTTTGGAAGAATGTCAGCATTTCTAGATTCTAAAAAATAAAATTAAAAACTTTCACATGGTAGCCGGAAAGAACCAGTATGGAAGGACGCACCTTGAGAAACTAAAGGCTGAGAGAA